TCAAGAAATTTTACAAATACTTGAATTTCAAATTCTACTAGCAACGGAATCTATTATTTGCGAGGGATTAGCAAAAAACCTTTTCCGTCACTAATTTGCGAGGCATTTGCGAGGGCTATACTTATAACTCATTAGCGAGGGATTTGCGACACGAAAACTCCCTCGCTAGATGAAAAATTCGTTTTTATATTTTGACTCATAATTTGGCGAGGGATTTGTGAGGCATTTGCGAGGGCCTAAGTTCCTCGCTAAATAAACACTAGCTTTAGCGACGAATTTGTGAAGAGATGAAGGTTGGTCGCAAAATGATCCTATTTAGCGAGGGATATAAATCCAAGCTATTTCCTCGCTAATTAGCGAGGGATTAGAGAGGGACAGTATTCCTCGCCAGTCCCTCGCTAATTAGCGAGGAAATAGCTTGGATTTATATCCCTTGCTAAATTCCCTCGCTAATCCGCGAAATTCTTGTAGTGGATTAAGGATTAGTCTGATTTTCGGGCATTCCCTAATTGATGAGATTTTCATAATGGAGGTCCATATCATCTGTCGGCAAGATAAAAAAATTTTGGGTTCCGATGAGTGGCATTACACCTTTCCAAGGAAAGGATGAGCGAAAGGTGATGTTATTGTCACAAGGAGAGTTTTTCTTGATGAAAAAACTTAGGAGAAGAATTCTCCAACAAGACTCTAGAGAGAATGAGAGATATTTTTGAAAATGATTCTCATATAAATCTTAAAAGTTATGAATACATGTATCTAACAAGGTTATATAAAGCTAGGTTGCTTATGGAGCAACCTAGGCTAAGAATGATCAAGTTAGAACCATGTTGGCTTAGCTAGAGTTAGTTAGCCAAATATTTAAAATTGAAATTCAAATATTTAGAACGAAAAACTTTTGACTCTAAAAGCCATGTGCTCTGGATCTAAACTAACCAATAGGAAGGTTCCATGTGGCAAATAAAGGTGGTGTGACTAGTTTATAGTCCATGTAGTTAATTTGGAATTATTCTAGCTAACCATGTGTTCCAACTTTACATGGGACATCGCAAGTGCTATTGAATTTATTCAAATTAGTACATGACTCAAATATTAGATTCACCTCCTAAGTCCATTATTTACTTATCAAAAAATACATGAACAATATTTCCTAGGATACTTGGCCCAAAAAGAAGAAAATTGTATGAAAGTGCACAAGAGGTATTCAACTTATATATATAGTACCTAATAGCCAAGATGAGCTTAGGCCTACTTACTTCAACATGGTTTCAATAATCTTGAATTCTAACTACTAGCCTAGCCTACTCCTTTAGGCTCCTTTTGAATAGGAACCTTGGGCGTGATTCCATCACCTTATCTAATTTGAGCTCCTTATAAGCAATAATCAATGTAGAAGAAAACTCCTTGTAAACTCTCATCACAACTCCCATAACTTTGATCATCAAAAGTCTCAGCTTTATAATCTTCCTCTGGCTTCAAGATCTACCAATCTCCAACGTGAGGGAAGATCCATGGCCTCAACGATAATTAGAAGTTAGAATAGTAGCTCAAATGATGGAAAACCCTTTGGAGAGACTAGATTGATGTAGTTTCTCCTCCAAGTTCCTAGAATGGATATTTTCCTTCTTGGTCTCCTTCCAGCTTTTCAATGGCTTCCAAAGGTGTTAGTAGCTATCTTTAAACACACATGGAAAGCTAAATAGGCCCCTTGGAGACGCCTCACTTATGGAGTGATAAGTTTCTTCGAATCTCACCACACTCAAGAGAGGATAAGAGAAATGGAATAAGTTTCAAGGAGAGAAACAAGCTTTGAGAGAGAGAATTAGAGGAAATTCATCCAATTCATATAAAAATCAAAGTTAAAGTTCAGTCAATACAAGGAAATCCTATATTTTTGGTTGGCTTATGGTGCAAGATAGACTAACCATGGTTAAGTGTAACCATGGTTAGCTATCTTGCACTTAAGCTAACCAACCCTAGTTAACTTTCTTCAAGTATAGTTAGTTATCTAGAAGCTTATGGAGCGTGCTAAGCTAATCCTACTTTGGGAGTAACCTAGGTTAGCTTAAGTTAACTCCAACTACCTAACCTAAGAATTACAACTACTAGACTAATGATTACTTTGAATAGTTTGTTGAGATGTCACTATCAAGGCCATGTGACTTATTTAACAAGCTTGAATGGCTTGTCCATTAAGCTTGGACGTCCAACCTTAATGCGCTAGAAAATTGTTTGGGCCATTCAAGACCAAATTAGTCTATGGCCTAGGCTAGTTACACCTCTCTTGAACTACTAATTACACCCATAAAGAAAAATACAAGGACAAAAATTCCTCTACTACTTGACACAAAATACATGGTCAAAATATATCCTATACAATCACTACTATAAATGTAAAACAACAATAGGAGTCCTTAAGGTAGGATATACCTCTAAATGTAGGGTACCCTACAAAATAAAGGTAAATATCCTATACAATCACTACTTCACCCTTCTTGGTTCTTTTTCTTCCAAAGAGATCCTTGGGAAGTAGGTTTCCATCATCAGAGTTCCAAAAGACCTTTCCTCTAATTTCTCTCTAGAAACTTGAATTATTAACTTATGAAGTTTATTTATCAAAACTTTACCTTATATACCCTTGTTCTCCTCAAGTCAAATCTCACATACTTAAGCCATATCCTCTACATCTTAAGCTTAAGGTCATTTCAACTCTATAACCCCACCCCAACATAGGAAAAACCAATAAAAAAAACATAAAATACTACTCCTAATTACATATATCATCAATATACACAATTATGAAAATATTATGTTAAAGTATTTGCATTAGAGACACTACACCTAACTAAATAAATAACTTTTTTGATAAATGTATCCACTTGCATGAGTATATAAAAGGAAATTAGCAATTAATACATCTTAAAGTAGGTATTTGTTTGTTATAATTAGGGCCAAAATAGTGTACCCAATTGTTTCTTCTATAAAGGATTAGAAAGAGTATTTCTTTACAAATTTGTAAGCTATTTTTTAAGGTCTTTTATCTAAATGTTTTTGGCACAACTTTTGCTTATAATTAAAAAATTAAACTACAAATTAGTTGTGTCAAACACACTCTTAGTATGTTATCGAATAAAAAAAAACATTACACATGATGTTTGCAAAACCCCATTTATGTTAAAGTTTTTATTTACACAGGACAACGACTATTTGACATCTCACTTTATAGGGATGACTTACTAACCTTCAAATGAAAAAAAAATGTACAAAAAATTTAGATTAAAAATATTGTTAGGCATCATTTCAACAAGTCATTTTAAGCTTTGTTGTGCAAATTTCTTGATATTCCTCTATTTTTTTGCATGTTTGTGGACTTTTTAGACATGAGATATCTCATCTTTTATAGATTGTTACTACTGAGGTAAAATACACTTGCCTATAAAATGCATTTTTTTTAGCAACATAAACAAACAAATAAAACTTCATTTCTTAATCAAGAAGCATTACACGTGTTATTCTTGTGTGATCTCATTCATGATGAATTTTTTATTTGCATAGGACTACAACTACTTAGCATCTCCTCATTTTATGGGGATGACTTATCAACTTTGAATAACAAAATTGCACAAAAAAAATTAGATTAAAAAATAATATAGGAATCATTTCAACAAGTCATTTTAGGCTTTCCAAGTATAATCTTTTGTAGTTGTTATAGGCTTGCATTACCATATTTAGCCATTGTTGCATCTCAATTGAACGTGAGATCAACATCAACAATTTGTAAATCCTCACATGGTACAACCCACTACAAACATAAACCATTCCTTATTTAGTTATTTAAGCACTTTTAATGTTCTTGAAAGAAACCGCTTATCTTGAATTTGGGTGAATTTTAAGTCATTAAAAGTGCAAGAAATGAAATGGAAATAGTTGTAGTATAGTAAGTTAATTGAATATTATTATGTAAAAGATTCTAAGTGATAGATTGTTTACTGATTTGATCTCACTTATTGTACATTTACATTAGTTTAGTTGTGTTACTAATCTAACATATTACTTGAATCAAATTTTTCTATAAAACAAGTCCATCCACTATTCTAATAACAATGATTAATGTTACATATCAATATAAAAGAAAAGAACTCAAAATATATTTATCATTTGTATCTACATTTTATATCAGTGTACAAAACATGCTTAAATATTGAACATTAGTATGTTGTTGGACCAAATAAAAACTTATTATTCTTACCAACAAAGACAACTTCATTTCTTAATCAAGAAGCATTACGCGTGTTATTCTTGTGCGACCTCATTCATGGTGAAGATTTTATTTTCATAGGACTACAACTACTTATCATCTCCTCAATTTTTATGGGGATCACTTATAACTTTGAATAGAAAAATTGCACACAAAAATTAGATTAAAAAATAATATAGGCATCATTTCAACAAGTCATTTTAAGCTTCGCAAGTATGAGCTTTTCTAGTTGTTACAGGCATGACATTAACATATTTAGCCATTGTTGCATCTCCATTGAATGTGAGATCAACATCAACAATTTGTAAATCCTCACATGGTACAACCTACTACAAACAAAAACCATTCCTTATTAAGTTCATTAAGCACTCTTAGTATTCTTGAAAGAAATTGCTTATCTTGAATTTGGGTGGATTTTAAGCCATTAAAAGTGAAATAAATGAAATGGAAATAGTCGTAGTATAGAGTAGGTTAATAGATTATTATTAAGTAAAAGATTCTTAATCATAGATTTTTAGTGATTTGATCTCATTTATTGTACATTCACATGAGTTTAGCTGTGTTACTGATCTAATTTATTACTTGAATCAATTTTTTTGTGAAACAAGTCCATCCACTATTCTAATAAGAATGATTAATGTATGATATCAATAGAAAGAAATGAAGTCAAAATATATTTATCATCTGTATCTATGTTTTATATCAATGCAGAAAAGATGCTTAAATATTAAACATTAGTATGTTATTGGACGAAATAAAAGCTTGTTATTTTACCAGCAAAGACAACTTCATTTCTTAATCCAGAAGCATTACACATGTGATGCTTGTCTACGTCCTTCATAATGAAGCTTTTATTTACATAGTATTACAACTACTTGACATCTCCTCATTTTATGGGGATGACTTATCAACTTTGAATAGGAAAAATTCACAAAAAAATAGATTAAAAAAATTGTATAGACATCATTTCAACAAGTCCTTTTATGCTGCACAAACAGGAGCTTTTCCAGTTATTATAGGCTTGACATTAGCACATTTAGCACTTGTTTCAGCTCCATTGAATGTGAGATCAACATCAGCAATTTGTACTTCTTCACATGGTACACCCTTACTACAAATAAGACTCATTCCTTCTTTTGTTCCTGAAGTGCCCTTAATGTTCTTGAAAGAAACCTTGCTTATCTTGATTTTGGATGGTTTCTAAGCCATTAAAAGTGAAAAAATGAAATAAAAATTAGTCTTTTCAAATCACCTTAGTGTATTGAATGTTGTAACAAAAATAATATCACCATCTTACATTTAATTGATAAGAAATTACATACCTCTTTGGTGCACTGGTTCCATGGACAATATTCTTGGTCTACTATGATAGGGTTGCTAACATTAATCATGGTAATATCTTCAAAATTCATATCAGTAACAGTAGCTCCTAGATCGCTAGGCCAAGTCTTAATCCTCACACCATTGTCAGTATTTTTCAAAGTGCAATTCTTAACTAAAAGACCTTCAACAGGCTCTTCATTTTCGTACCTTCCAAGACTTCCAACACTAATGCCATGACCAGGTCCACAATTCACATTTTGGACAACTACATTTGAGGTGCCATCGCCTATTGAGATACAATCATCTCCAGTACCAATGTTGGTATTGAGAATCTTCACACCATTTGATCTTCCAATGTGGATCCCATCAGTGTTGGGGCTCTCGGCTGGGGCGATAATTTTAAACCCATCAAATGTGACATTACCACACTCCAAAACATTGACATGGAAGTTTTTGCTATCCTTGGAAGTAACATCTCGAATAGTTGAATCGTTCAAGAAGTGAAAACCAAAATTCTGTTAAGTATTAAAACAATAGAAGCCAATTAAATTTTTGTTCGATAAAGGCACATGATGTTACATTTTTATTTAAATTCAAGGAATAATATTTTGTTACCATGCAAAGCATCTTGCAATCCTTATTTTTAGTACAATCATTTTGTTTCCAAGCACTTGGACCTAGACCATCAAAAACACCGACACCTGATAGGGTGAAAGAGTTGACATGGCTAATCTTGAACCAATATTCAACCCCTTTAAGTGTAGTTGCGTCTGTAGGTGCACTAATTGTTCCATCAACTTGAAGTTCAATAGGAGCCTTACATGGACCTTTGACATCTACTGAACCCATTATGTATTTACCGGCTGGAATCACAATTTTTGAAGGAGTTGTTGCTGCACATGCTTGAGTAAATGCACTTACAATAGCCTTCATAATTAATATGCATACCATAAATAAGTTATAAACAATGCGTTAATAATAATAATAATGATAATAATATTAACAATAATATAAAAGACACTACTCCTTGATATTACCCTTAAAATTACTCGACAAATGGGAAAATTATTTTCACTTTTTTCAATAAAGTCATACGACGATGTACCTTGGCTATATCTGTATTTGGTTTTCCACCAAATCTTGATATGTCAAGATTCCCAGCTTGACCTAAAACAAGGTTTGCTGGAAATAAAGATAAAATAATTGTGATTATAAAAAACTTCATGTTGTTTTCCATTTTGTTTGTAGTACTCTGTTTACACTTGAATGAATTGATTTCAAAACATGATTAGGCTCTATTTATATTGGAGTAGTGATGCTTGAAGACCATACATATTGTAAACTAATTTTAACTAAATATATCTTTCCTTTTTAATTTTGTGGATGAACTTTTTGATTCAATTATAAACTTTTTGCATCACTCAATTAAAACCTATCATTATATTTTCCAAAGAGTAATATACTGCGAAAATATTGATTTAATTTTTGTAAATGTATTTTAACTTCATTAGGTCAAATACCAAATTTTATCTAAATATATCTTTCCATATAAATTGTGTTGAAGGTTTGTTTTGATTCTGTTATAGACTTCCAATTTTGCTTCATCACTAAAAATCTATCATTTTACTTTTCTTAAAAATTTATAAATTAAAAAAAAGTTTATTTAATTTCAGTAGATGTATTTTAATTTGATCAAGTCAAACACCATATATTGAGTTCATTATATAAATTTAGTTTAACAGGTTATTTTAATTTATTTCCCCACATGATTACCAAAAAAGAAATCCACATATTGAATGCATAACTTTAAATGATTGCAAATTCTGAAATATTAAATTTAAATTATTCTAATTATATAGAAAGTCAATTTATTTATTTTTAATATTTTTAATACAAACTTTTTATACAAATTGAATAAGTCTCATCATATTTAGTACTCCTTCATCATGAATCTAAGTACCTAAATATTAAACATATATATTACAATTTTAGTTCGTGCTCAATTTTCACACATTTATATTTATTACCTAATTATTTTTGTTTAAGAAAATCAATATTATTTCCTTTTAATTGAGAAAAAAAATGTTTGTTTTAATTTCAATAATTTTACCTCAATATATATGTAAACCTTTTAAATTTACATTAAGACAATGAATTATTTAAATAATATTTTGTTAATTGAACTACTTCTACTAAGGCAAGAAATACATCCATGATGTATTTGTATCTATATGTTATTTTTGTAGTAAAACATGGACATGTTACACCACAAGTACAATCACCTACTTAAAAGGAAATATCTAAAGTTTTCAATGCTAACGTGAACCATTAGGGTATCTAGATAAAAAATTATTCGTCTTGCATATATCCTTGATAGAAAGAAAAATAGTCATGGTACCTAGATAATGAATGTTCATGTCACATGATGGGAGAATAATTAATGTTCCAAAGCCTAAGGCTAAATAGTGGTGTTCAACTTACTTTTGGAGGAAATCAGAAAGGCAAAAGAAAAGGAATATGTAAAATAGGTCTATCCTTATCATTATCTATTGATAATGTGATATTTGTTAACAAACTCAAACACAACCTACTTAGCATGAATCAATTGCATGATAGTGGATTTGATTTATCACAACTCTTTATTGCCAACAAATAAAACAATTTATATAAGATAAAGATGAATGATTTGACAAGTTAAAATTTAAGGTGCCTAAATTCAATTGAAACCCACTAGACGTGGCATAAGAAACTTATACATGCAAGCTTGAGATTAATATCAAAGATGTAAAAGCATAATCTCATAAAAAGGTTTCCTTACCTACCATTCTAGTGACCTTTGCCAAGCATGCCTAAAAGTGGAAACAAATGAAAACTTCTTTTGAATCCAAAAATGTTTTTTTGTAAAATCAAGAGAATACATTAATAAAATAATGTGTCATTAATTTAACTATTTTGAAGACTTCTAAAATTAAAAAGAAAAATAATGTTTGCTCTTCTTATATTTTAATAATGCAATGGTTATGTTTGGAAAAATGTGTGGAAGAGCAAGTAAAGGGAGATGAGATTAATGAAGTTAGAGGGAATGTGTTACTATTTAAAAGCAAAAGGAGGAATAAGGCTATCTATGTGATGTTATAAGACAAATTTATAGGTTAATTATTGAGTTTAAGAATGACTAAGTATCCTATATACAATGGAAAGCCTTAAAAATATGATGGAGCATAAAGGGATTCTTCTAGAAGTCTTTGGAATACATCGAGGTCTTTGTTGGGTTAATTTGTGATTTAAAATCACTAACTAGAGCTATCTAACTATGTTTACACGATTTTCAAATTTTCTAAGATAAACATATAATTATATAATAAACATTATTTAAATACATAATTAAGAAAGTAGTTACTTTAGTAATTCCATTTTTATTATAATGAAATTTCTATAAAATAAATTAAATTAATATATATATATATATATATATAAGTTTTTATGTGTGCATTTCATTTTTATAATATATTATCATACATGTCCCACTATTAAAATTTTCTCATTTCATGTGGATTTTCTTATAGATTTTGTGTAAAAATTTGCAAGAAATTTGTTTCATATGGAATTTCCTGTGGACTTTGTTTCACATGTAATTACTTCATGGATAATGTGTTCCAATCAATTTAAAATCTACAAGAAATATTCCTATGGAATTGTTTGTGAAAAAATATGCAAGATATTCTATTAAAGTAATTATGAAGCTTTGTAAATGTATAAAATAGATAGTACAAAAAACATGCATGTCTAGAAATGAAGACCTTGTGAGTCAATCCTTAAGTAGTAGCAAAAGCATTTGCTCTTTGAGCTTGAATAGGACTCAAAGTAATGCCAACACTCATTGCTCCATACTTCTTGGCAACGTATCTGGAATTGCCTCCTATGCCACACTCAACACCAACTATACTCTTTTGCCATTTTGAAAACTCCTATAACAATCATAAACAAAGTATTAATTATTCAGTACTAGTAGTAACCACTTACAAACCACCGATAAAATCCTTACTACTAATTAATTAATCATAATAGTATGTATACACTAATACACAAATTATTCTATAAAATAGTGATTTAATTACAAATAAAGTATTAAGTTCAATTTTGCATTTTCATATTAGTCTCAAGTCTAGTACAATTTCAATGGTGTGACACCCTCTACCCCAACATACATATACAATAATTATAAAAATAAAATTCTTCATCATTAAAAACCAAATCTCCAACCACATAAGGGTTTAGAGTTCACATTCATAAACTTAATCCAAATAACATGTCAGTAAAATTACAAAGAAATAAAACTGAGTTTTCAAATAGTTTAATGGAAATAGCATCCAAAACTAAGCCTAGCTATGCCCCGATGTCACATATCCTATCAAAGCATACCCAACTGAAGCCTAAGCCTCATCACCAACATCCTCATGCTGATGATCAGCTACTACACAATTTAAACACATACAAAGAACAATAAGGGAGTGAGAAACATCTCACTCAGTTTCAGGTGTAGAAATAACAGTTAGGCAACACACACACAAATCATACAAGCACACTCATAACTACTCATTAATCAGGTGCAAATTCAAATTTCACATATAACAGTAACACATACACAGTCATTCATCATACAATGATGTCATGGACTCGAATCAGATGCATGCATGTGGCGCCAGTCACGTGTCTCATAATCATGTATCACTAGTGTGCTGCCTAAACAACACACCTAGGGTAGTCTAGGAGTACATGTAGGGAGCTACCCATACACTCTCAAATAGAAGGATATACTACTAGGGTCTGGTTGGGATAGCAAAGTTGCGTAAGTTATGTCTCGTGCTCACAAACGGACAGAATCCAGACATCCAAATCACACTATCCCCTAAGACTCCCCCAAGCTATTACACTAGGAGGGCCTTCCCTAACAGTGTACTATATATTTTACCATTCATATAGATGCATATGATGCATGTCACACATTCACAAACTCATGGACTCATCACTTTACTTGTCATGGCATTTCATGTCTTATCTCATTTCATCACGTTTCACATTCTCATAGTCATAGTGCTCACAATAGCACATCATTCACATCGTGTCTCATGTCATTTGTTCATATTTCACATAGTCATACTCATAAGATTATCATTTGGAGTTTCTTATCATCATCATGTCATATTCACTTTTCACATTGCCTCAAACTCATATTCATAATTGTTCCTCATAGGGTTTTGCACAGGAACCCACAAAACACTCTAATTCATATCAAAACATGTTCAAATTCAAAATTAAATATACATTCATGCTCAACATTTAGCAAGGAACACAATAGAATACTCAAAAGTCAAAACAAAAAACATCTAAAATTTTCCTGTTTCTCATAGGATTTTCCATAGGAACCCATAGAGCACTCTAATTCATATCAAACATATTTATGCTCAAAATTAATTACATATTCATGTTAAGTTAGACGAAGCAATTCCCAGCGAGGTTTTGAATATGAAAAATATAATACAATTGTTATTACTAACCTGTGCAGTAGTATTTCAAATAAATATAAAAACAGGCAAAACTAAAGCATGAAGCATGGTCGAACAAAACAAGGATCAGACAGATGAAGACAAAAGTTGGCTTAGCACCAAATAAACAATCAGATGAAGCTTAATGGTCAACTACACAAAGGTCAATGAAAAAAATATCAGTCGTTGGATAACACACGATGAAGAAATGTTCTAGATGAAATTAAAGTCATCCATCTTCACGACTGATCAAACGAAAGGAAAAGTCAAAGTCTAACTCTTAGACGGAGACCCAAATGCTAGACGCAAACAAAGAATGTTGAAATGCGTCTAAAATCCACTAGTCACAGTGAAGAAGATCATATATCGTTTCCATTTATAAGAAAAGCACACGGAGTTATCAAAATATGAAAAGAAAGAAGAAGAATAAAAGAGCGTGAATTCACAAGTCAAAGTTGCGAGTGTCAGAAGTAACTGCACCTACTTTTTAGAAAAAAGACAACACCTCTGCAGCTACACTAACGAAAAGAGAAAAGAAATACCTAGGTCATGATTGAAGTAAGACACAAAAAGTGAATAAACTACTGAAGAAGACTTTACGTAACACAGATTTAGCAAGCAAACATTTAATTCAAGATCAAACACATTAAATGAAAAGGATTTGTGTAGCCATGAATGAACGACTATCTGCACCAACGGGAAGTTCCACC